ACTTTAGCTCTAACTCTACCTCATACACTAACTAGCAGTGTAACCCAGAGGGAATCACCAAATATATCTAGGTCTGTCTCCTCATCCATAAAAAAATGGGGTTAATAATAGTACCTATCTCAGGGTTGCTGTGAGGATCAAATGAGACACTATAAGTAAAGCATTTAGTAAACCTTACAGCATTATGTAAATGTTAACTATTGTTATTATTACTTTGGGTGGTGTCTTCAGAGTCGATATGGTTGCTGAAAGGTTAACAATCTTACAAGAGCCTTACAAAATTGATATGCCAAGCCCAACCCCCTTAGCATTCTGCTAACATTCTGACGTACTGTACTCTAGTAGTTTTTCCTGTGACTCCACAATCGATTTTACTCTGCCACAACAACTGCAAAAAAATGTTTTTTCTCACCATTCTACCTATGTTCACCTCTGCCTTAGAGGAAGGAATCAGAGACAGAAGTTGCTGCTGCTCTGGCCCCACTTTTCGATTACTGAAAGAATAGAAGGAGGTCTAACCAAGGCACAGCTAGGTGACCCAGTGGATAGAATGCTGGGCTAAGAGTTGGGAAGATTCATCTTCTTGAGTGCAAATCTGGTCTCAGACACTTACTAGCTGTGTGACCCTGCGCATGTCAATTAACCCTGTTTGCCTCAGTTTCTCAATCTGTAAAATGAGCTGGAGAAGGAAATGGCAAACCACTCCAGTATCTTTGCCAAGAAAACCCCAAATGGGTTCATGAAGAGTTTGACATGACTGAAAACTTACTGAACAACTGAAGGTCAGAAATACAGTTCTATTTTGTTATGAGCCATCTGAAACATGAGCCTTTGTCTTTTCCAAGTTCATGCCTTAAACCCAGAATTACTTAATAAAAATTCCCTGCCCATCATACCTAGGATTTTGTTATCCAGCCTTTTCTTGAAGAACTCTAGAAATAGGGAAACCACCACCTCCATTTGTGTGTAGCTCTGTTTGTAGTTCCTTATATCAAGTCTAAATTTTCTTCTCTGAAACTTCCACTTGATCCTCCTAATTCTGCCCTGTGGATTCAAGCAGAACAAATCTAATCCCTCTTCTATGTGACAACCCTTCAAATATTTGAAAACAGCTATAATGTTCACTCTAAGTGTTCTTTTCTCCAGGCAAAACATCTTCTGCCTTCAAGCCAGTTCCTTCTGATGATACTTATATAAAATGAAGTCAAGGTCCTTCAGCATACTGGTTGTCCTCCTCTCGACTGTCTCTAGCTTGTCAATGTCTTTCCTGAAATGTGAACTGAACAAGAACACAACACTATAGACAGTCTGACCAGGGCAGAGGACAAGCAGACCATCACCTCTGAAAGACCAGATACTACACCTAAGATTACATTTGCCTCCTTGGCTTCCATATCACACTGCTGAATCACACAACCTCTAGATCTCTTTAAGACAAACTGCTATACAACCCCCAACTTGTCCTTGTAATACTGATTTTTTTGAACTCCAAAGCACAGGAATTTATATTTATTCCTATTAAATTTAATACACTTTGACTGGGTCTACTATTTTAGCCTGTCAAGATCTTTTTGAACCATGAATGTCATCTAATGTGTTAGCTACTCTCTCTTCCCACTCCAGTTTTGGGTCATCTGCAAATATGATGAGAATGCCATCTATGTCTTTAACCAAGACAACAACAAAAATGTTAAACAGGACAGGACCAAGCACAGATTCCTGGGGCACCTCACTGAAGACATACTTCCAAGCTGACATCAAATCACTAATACTACTATCTTTTGGTTCTAGCCATTCAACACAAAATGACTCATATCCATTGGTTCTTCTCAGCAACCTGCATTAGAAATAATATAAGAGCTTTTGTAATTCAACAACAGAAAAAGCTACCATATACTAGCTGCTGTATATTTATATAATTTCCCAAGAAATTCTGATCTAAGTGAGGAAGAAAAATAAATTTGGCAGCTTTATTCAAAATTACCAAGTAGCCTATTAAGCTGAAATGACTAGGATCCTATTGAGGGCCAAAGCATGTCACAGCTAACCTGCATTCTTCCTGATGACCTATCCTACTTTACCAACTGAAACAAAATGCTTAAGAGCAGAAAGTAAAAAACACTTCAGTAACTAGAGGAGTAGCAACATAATACATCACATGAATCCTTTAATATTAAAGCAATTAACTACCTGTTATTTTTGATATATCTAGAAACTATAGGTTTTCTCCTTAAGTTTAAAATATAATATAAACACTTCCAAAATCCCCATTGTGAACATCAGAGTATGGGATGTAAGTGATCAATAGAGCCAAAACTAGGGTATAAGCAAGGCAAATAGTTGCCCAGGGTCTGGGTGTGAGGTGCATTGCAACATATATTGGGATGTCAAAAGGAACAACAAAGAACACTTTTAACTTAAACGTATCTGGGGAAAAATGATAAATACACATATTTCTAGAAGCATAAAATTATATTCTCCATGTTAGAAGGGTATTTGTTTTGTAACAAATTGCACGTGTTATAGTCAAGGCCCCAATTTTCCAATGAGCAGAGATAGTTTATAGATCTTGCCTGTACAAATACCATGATCTGGCTCTGGTGATCAAAATTGAAAAAACAAAACAAAACAAAAAAACAGAACAAAAAAAAACACAACATGAATCCCATGATTTGCCAAGTTGCTTAACTTCAATGTCCTTTCTGTTAAATATTTTTGCAACAGTCTGTGCCTGAGTTGCACAATCAGCACCTAGAAGTTGGAAATCTATAACATTCATACCAAAGATGACATACACTCTGGTTTTCCATGGTGCAACAATGGTACCTGGCCCTATACATCTGTGAACTCTCATTAGTTGAAGCCCAGAAGGTTTGCACACTGAATGTCTTAGGGTCTGAGACTGAAAAAGGGGCCTCAGGAGCCATCTAGTCTATCAACTCTTTGTAAGTCCCACTTTTCAAAGGTGAGCTGGTAAACCACTGAAAGTCCCACCCCTCACCCTCTTCATTTCAAGAGTCAATTCTAATCCTTACCTATCATCTGAGCTCCAAGCCCTCACTCCACAATTCAAAACAAAAACTACTGTTTTATCAGCCCTAAGAAAGGAGGGATTATGTCTTAATTAGACTTTGTTTCTCTTTCAATGCAAGTTATTACTCTGCAAACAGGTGCTTTAAAAAAAAGCACTCTGAATGGATGAGGACTCAGGATAAACTCTCTTTCTATTTCCAGTGAGAATCAGGACACAATCTCAGTTGATATACTACAGTCCCGAAGAATGCTAAAGGGGTTGGGCTTGGCATATCAATTTTGTAAGGTTGTTCACCTTTCAGTTGAAAATTTCCTTCTTCTCTATTTACTGGAAAATGTTGCAAAAGATGATCCTGAAGATCATCAATAGGTGATCAGCTTTCCTGGAGAGAATAGTTCCTAAAAGAAGAAATTTAGCAGTTCTTTCTATTCTAAATGGAAAACAAGAAATACCATATTGAGTCAGGTCAAATCCAACCAGGAAATTACACAGAAAATTTCACATTTATGGGATAGCATAATTGTCCTCTATGTCCTAACAATTTAAGGATGCACCTACCATGGCAAAAATTTATAGAGTTTTGGACATGGAAACAATTAGTCTGGCCCCCTCATTTCACATAAGGAGAAATCAAGCCCCCAGAGAAGTCAGTCGTTGGCATAGCCAGAACCGAAAAACTAGGTCTCCTTCTCCCAATCAGAACAGTTTTTCACATCAAGTGACCCGAACCACTTTGATTCTTCTTTGTTAAGTTATTCTTGGATTTTAACACCCACAAATTTATTTAAACACTTCTTGAATCTACCGAAGAACACCAAAGCAATCTTTTGATAATATGGTAACTTCTTAAACTCCTTGATTTACATGGGTTCCTATAGCACTGGTTTTGGCAGTCAAAAGCCCTTAGTTCACAATAACTGGGACCATCTACTAAATCAGGTCAGTCACTTAACCTAGTCTAGATTTCTCCATCTGTAAAACAGGGGGAAGAGAATAAGTACTTATTAAGTGCCTACAACGTGCTGGATTAACAAAGGTTAAATGACTTGCCCAACCTCAAGAGCTAGTAAGTACATGGCTGGGTTTGAACTCAGGTCTTCTAGATTCCAGGCCAGACTCTCTCTTCACCACCCAGCTTCTTCTAGGGGATGATGATTCTTGCATTTAAAACACTACATAAGCATGGAGAAGGACTTGAAATCAAATTTAAAAAAAGAAACAAATAATTTAGACTCAAGTAATTTTTGGACACCTAGAGCAATTTCTAGTGGCATTTTCCTTACCTAGGGGCACACAGGTAACACAGTGGAAAGAGCGCTGGTCTGAAAAACCAGAGTTCAAATCTAGCCTCAAGCACTTTACCATCTATGTGACTCTGAGCAAGTCACCTAACCCTTGTCTGCCTCAGTTTCTTCACCTGTAAAATGTGAAGAATAACAATACCTCCCGGCTATCTTCCCCTCCTACACTCTGGGCTACAGGGAAAATAAAAATGAGAATTTGAAAAATGCTTTTCAAACCTTAAAGCACTTTAAAAATGCTAGCTCTTATTAATATTATTAACATCTCAACTCCATCCACACCATTACCCCCTTTCATCCTTGGCCTCCCCACAAAACAGTTTAGAAATGTTACCTGGTTGTCTGGTGCATTTCCCTTTCTAAGTAAGTAACTACTTCATCCTCCTACACCTACCTACCTTTAAATTGAAGACCAAATGAGATGTTTGTAAAGTGCTTCCCAAAACTTAAAGAGCTTTAGAGATGCTAGTTATTATTAATATTATTATCCTCTCAACTCCGCCCACACCATCATTCCCTTTTCATCCTTGGCCTTTCCACACAAACAGTTAAAAAATGTTACCTAACTGGTGGTCTGGCGCATTTCCCTCCGATCCCTATAGAGGCTGGAGAAAGAATTCAAGCTGTCAAGCTGGGGAAGGGGCCCGAGACACCGCCCCCGCCCCATGCGGATGGAGACAGACAGTCACGCATGGAGACAGTCACGCACACACATACAGTCACGCACACACACACTCACGCACACACACTCACGCACGCGCTCGGGGCAGGGATGGGGACAGGGAGGGGGCGGGCGCAGACAGTTCAGTAACAGCGACGGGGGAGGGGAGGAAAGGAAGGAGGAGGCCTGCCTCACCCCCCCATCCCCGCCCCCGCCCGGGGCGGGTCCCTCACAGCGGCGAGACAGGCAAGGGCCTCCCCACGCGTGCCGAGCTTGCCCCGCCCCACCGACTCTGCCCCCCAGCTCACGCACCTGGAGTCGGGACAGCGAGGATCTGAGGAAGAGGAGAGCGACAAGCCCCAGAGGAGCAGCGGCGGCAGCAGAAGCAGAGGCGGCGGCGGCGGCGGCAAAGAGGCTCAGTGCGCAGCCGCAACTCCGCGGGAGAGCAACCCGGACGAGGTTCCGGGCAGAAACTAGCTCTGGCGTCTCAGTACGGCTTCCATCGGGGTTCCGAGATCACTGGCGGTGCCTAGTAAAGGTCATTGGCCCTAGCCTCCGCCCCACACCCCCGACCAACACGCCGATGGGACAGGCAGCTGTCCCCATTCTTATTCTGCACGCTGTAAAAGGTAGGGAGGGGTGCGGAATCTGATTCCCTCAATCTCCTACCTCCGGCCCACGCCAGGGAAAACCAGCTAGCCGGAAGTAGGCCGCCTCAGTCCCTCTGGACCGGAAAGCACTGTGTAGTTGTCCCAGAAAAAACCTGTTGCTATTAATACTCAGTTCCGGAGCTTGGAAGCTCCTCTGTTAACGCCGCAGTTTGAATAATGGCCAGCTTTTATATAGGGTTTTAAAGTTTGAAAAGCGCTTTAGATCATTTGGATACCTCTGAGGCGATATCGATGTGATAAATAAAACACTGATAGATTGTGATGTGATAACATCAGTAGAACCTTTTTCATCCCCAGCTCCCCCCAAACTTAAATACGATTTTCTCTTTTCTCTTCTCAGTGGTATGGAAAGAGAAAGAGGCATCATCCCCATTTTACAGGTAAAGCTTTGGACTGAGGAACGGAGACAAGTGACCCACCCAAGTTTCCAGAGCAAGGGCTGGGCATGTAGGCCCCTGGATTCTAGAACTTTCTCTTAATTTGTCTTCTCTCATCTTGTGGCCTAGACACAAATTAATCTATTTAAAATTAGGTCATTCAGCCAGCCAGTCAATAAGCATTTACTATGTGCCAAGCACTGTGCTAAGCCCTGGGGATACAAAGAAAGACAAAAGACAGCCCCTGTCCTCAAGAAGCTTTTAGTCTAATGGAGGAGATAACATGCAAACAAATATGTACAGAAAAGCTGAATACATGATACATAGGAAGTAATCAACCAGGGGAGAACACTACCATTAAGAGAGACTGGGAAAGGCTTCTTGCAGAAAGTTGATTTTTAGCTGGCACTTGAAGGAAGCCAGGAGGTGGAGATGAGGAGGAAGAACATTCCAGGCACTGGGAACAGGCAGTGAAAATGCCTGAAGTTGGAGTGTCTTTAGAGGAACATCCCTGAGGTCAGGGTCAGTGGATGGAAAAGTATTGTGGAAGGAAGGTGTAAGAAACCTGGAAAGGTTGGGGGGAGGGGGCAGGGTATGAAGGCCTTTGAATGCTAAACAGATCCTTGAGGTAATTGGCAGCCACTATCATTTATTGAGTCCGGGTGGTGGTGGTGACATAGCTGAACCTATGTTTTAGAAAGATGAGTGGAAGAATGGATTGGAGAAACTTGTGGCATGAAAACCCATCAAAAAGCTATTCTAGTAGTCTAAGTGTGAAGTGATTAGGGCCTTCCAGGATGGTTAGCAGTATCATAGGAGAGAAGGGGGCAGATGGATGAAATGTTATGAAGGTAAAATCAGCAGGCCTTGACAACAGTTTGGAAGTGTGGGAAGAGAGGGAGTGAGGTGTTCAGCATGACACCTAGGTGACTGTCAGCTTGGGTGACTGGGAGGATAGTAGTGTCTTTGACAGTAGCAGACAAGTTAGGAAGAGGGCAGGGTTTGGGATAATGAGGTTAGTTTGAACACATGGTAAGTTTAAGATGTTTATGGGACATCCAGTTTGAGATGTCCCATAGTCAGAGATGCAAGTCTGGAGGTTAGGAGAGAGGTTATAGAAACACACCGAAGTAGGCCAGCTTTGAAAATGGCATTGAAAATATACTTTTTAAGAAGCAAGCCGTAGATAAAAGAGTTTCATGGTATCACAGAATACTCTTCAGTTCCACTTGTATATGGAAATATTCTTTTTTTTAAATGTTCATTAAGTTTAGAAGAAAAAAGGAATGAAATGTGCTTTGGAACCAAAAATGTTACAAAATGGTTATTGCCCAAACTTCTTTGAACTGGGCAAAAAAATAAAGAACTAGATCAATGAAACAGAATGAATTCTCCAGACATCCAACCAAATACATAAAAAAGATTTGTGTTTGACAACTTTTTAGTAAATATGATTTGGGGGAAATTATTTAATGAATGTACTTGGGAAACTGACTTCCAATTTGGCAGAAAAGGAATTTGGAATTATGTCTTATGCCATATACACCAGTGAGTTCCAGCTGAATGAAAAGATTAAACTGGAACAAAAGAACTCTAGAAAAAAGATGGAAGAAAATAGGACTATTTCTCTGAGTGATGGAAAGAAGACTTTTTGTTCAACAAATAGAAAGAATTCTTGAAGCTTGAGAATAAAATAGGTATGCTTGACTTAAAATTTAAAAAAAGTCTGTGGAGCAGAAAATATAATTAAAAGAAAAATAACAGATTGGGGAAAATATTTGTGACAGGCATGAGAGATAAAAATCTGGCATCTAAAAAAATGGAACTGTTAAAAAAAAAAGTGATAACTCTAGTCCATGATAGATAAATGGTCAAAAACTATGAACAGTCTATTTTCAAAAGAGGAAATTGTTAATTCTCACTTAAAAAAATGCTTAATCTCAATAATCAAAGAGGTACAAATTAAAATAACTTGGAGGAGTCTCTTCACGCCCATCAAAATGGAGAGACTAAAATAATGAAACTCTACTGCCATGGTTGTAGAAAAACAAGTACGTTTGTTTATTGCTGGTAAATTTCGAATGTGTAGAATCTTCCTGGGGACCAACTAGGTGATGTTCAGCAGATTATAAAAATGATCATACCCTTTGACCAAATAATTCCATTGTTAAGAGTATATCCTTTGAGTATTAAAAAGAAAAAGCTATTTAAACTGGAAGCAGTTTCAAAGTCCAACAATGGGGGAATAATTTATGTAAAGATGAGCTCAAAGATTTTCAGTCTTTCTGGGCTGTACCTACATATGAGAAGTCAAGAATATGGAGTCTACTAGGGCCTCCTATGTTTAACTTTATCATTACCTCATTCACTCATCTGTGAGCGGAAAATAGAATTGGAATTGGAAAACTGGGGAATCCTGAACCTTTAAGCTCTTTGGTAGATATTAAGTTAATAACTCTTGCATCGATAGTAACCAGGTATAACTTTGGCTTCAGAGATTAAAATAAAGATGTAAAGGGAATCCTCACCATAAACTGGGGCAAGAGACCCAAGAGGCTAAACGGTGAAGTGGAGTCCAAAGAAAAAAGCTGAGGCACGTGGATCTGGAGGTAATGGTTAGCCAGATTAGATGGCTATACCAAGAGGCACATAGAACTGTAGGGAGGCTTGCAATGAAAGCTGTTGCACACAATCCATCCTTTATGGGAAAGAACCCATACCAAGTGGGGAAAATCAGTGAACCAACTGCAAAGTAATAGAGTGTCAGACTTTGCCCAGCCCACACTCACTTAAATCCAATTCACTTGCATGTCATGGCATCACCTCCCTGATGTCATGGTCCTCTTCGAGAAAGAAGGACAAGCAACAGCAACAAATTTTGTAGACTGTGTATATCCATGGCAGGAGATGGTTGATATACTACTTGTCCTGAGCCACATTGAGTAGTAATGTAAGTTGGAAGGACAATAGATAGGTAGAGAGATAGATAAATAAATAGAAAGAAAAAAGGAAGATACCTGTATGAAGTAGGAGAGTTTTATTGAATGCCTATGGACTTGGGTATGAGCTCTTTCTATCTCTTTATTGTCTAAATCTTTCATGTCTTATTAGTTTGAGTGCTAGTAGGAGAAGTGTTCCTTTTCAGGAGAGCAAATTATTTAGATCATAAAGTTCTTTAGGTTTTCCTGAGTGCATGCAAGGAACAATTCAATTTATATATTTATACCAATCCCTATTTTGCATGTTACTATGGATAGGAATGACTGTGAACACTTAAAGGAATGCATGTATGTGGAGGCAGCCTTTTCTCACTCTCTTCTCCACAGGAAGCCAATAAGAAGTGGGGCTAACTGAAGACAATAAACATAATCTTTTCACTGTGCTGTGAATTTCCAGGTCAATTTCTGGTGGTTGTTTTTTTTTTTTTCTCATCAACAGCAACTGTGGGGAGGGGCAGAGGTATTCCATGGCTAGCCATTACCAAGGGTGGCTAACTACCAGGACCATGGGTACAAGTGTACCTAAGAACCAAACCCTTCCTGGTCTGGATGAAACTGTGTGCTCAGTTTCATTAATGACCCTTGGGGCAGGGGAAGGAAAGATGTATAGATGTGTTGCCCAGAGCCCAATCCTATTACTAAAGGAATAACATGCCTCCTGGCAGCAAAGGGCTTTCAGGGGAACTCTCAGCATTTCAAGGGATGTCAATAGCTGTTGCTATACTGTCACTGCCTGGGGTTTTAGCCAGATAGAAGAGAGACATGGAACAGCTAGCTGTCTAATGCACAGTGAACTTAGCTGTTGCCATGGAGACCAATGAAGGCAGCAGTAGCTCCTCTGCTGAAGCAACTCAAGAAAACATTGGAGGATCAGTTGTGACCTGGCATAAAAGTACACATGCACATACAGACCAACAGTGCAGTAATTGAGAGAAATCTCTTTGTCTCTCTCAGCTCCCTCTCTCTTGTCTGGTGCTGCACCATCATAGGCTGAGCTCTAGATTTTGCCCCTGCTTGGACTTTATTGTATCTTCTGGTTTTGATCAGACTTTTATTTCAGACACCACTTCTTGCCTCTGGCACTTTAAACTTCATGACTCATCTGTCTAATGGTTGATCTTAACTTGTTCCTGCTGCACAATTCTGACCTTTATCTGTATAAGGATTCTTAGTAGCAACACCTTTCTTACTTCCCTAGCCAGGGTCCTTCATGGACCCCAGCTAACTAAGAGAGTGTCTGTTGAGCCTACAATTTTCTCTAAAGTTGCTTTTATACAGGGAAAGCAGCTTGAGAACTTATATGCCCTCGTCCCCTTCTCTTTCCCTTCCCTCTCTCCCACATCCAATGAACTTCATTTATCTTTGAAGTATGGGACACGCTGACCATAACTCAGAAATCTTCCTAGAGAACCAAAAGATATATCATAGTGATAGCCCAAAGTCAGGGATCTTGAGATTGGTCATGCCTCTAGTGCTAATTTTATTAACATGTGTACATCTCCCAGAAGGTGCTGCACAGATCAGGATGGTCACTAGCTACTTCTCATCTTTACTATGGACAGAAGGAATTAATATCAGCTTGAAAACCATTTGAGATTAAAATGTAACCTGCCTGCAAAGGGGAGATCCTTGGTTCTTCTGGCTTCTCCAGAGAGGACTTGTGAGTTTCTGGGCTCTCTCTGCAGAGAGTGGTTCCTGGGGGGAGAGAAAGACGCTGAGAATCAGCTGACACATTGAGGATTTAATGCTTTGAGCATGTCCCTGGTCCTAGTTTGTCTCCTAAGAGACTTCTGGGAATTTCTCTTTGGGCAAAATCAGGGACTCTGCCCTTGTGGTTGAGTTGAAATAGCATGCTTTCAGAGGGAAAGCCCATTTAGTCTTTTTTTTTTTTGCTTTTTTTGTCTAGGCAATCAGGGTTAAATGACTTGCCCAGGGTCACACAGCTAGTAAGTGTCAAGTGTCTGAGGCTGGATTTGAACTTAAGTCCTCCTGACTCCAAGGCCAGAGCTCTATCCACTGCACCACCTAGCTGCCCTACCTGTATAGTCTTTAAACTGTCTGGTATATTCTAATCTGTATAACTTCTCTGATTTCTGTTTGTTCTTCATTTTAATAAAAGATTTATTTGCTATTTGTTTTGTGTGATGGTCTTTGTGTAACTGGCATTTTATGGGAAGGGAGTCTTGCGTTTGAGTATATAGCTTGGGGGCACTCCTTCCCCAGTAAAGGAATAGTGATCAGGAGTACATTTTGAACTTAAAAATCATTCCCCTTATGGTATGTAAATGTAATGGAATACTGCTGTTCTATAAGAAATGATGAGCAGGCAGACTTCAGAAAAACCTGGACTTATATGAACTGATGCTGAGTGAAGTGAGCAGAACCAGGACAACATTGTGCACAGTAACAGCCACGTTGTGCGATGATTGACTTTGATAGACTTAGCTCTTCTCAGCAATGCAAGCATCTAAGACAGCTCCAAAAGACTCATGATGGAAAATGCTGTCCACATCCAGAGAAAGAACTTTGGAGTCTGCAGATGGAAACATACTATTTACTCTCTTTTTCTTCTGTTGTTTTGTTTTGTTCTTTCTCATGGTTCCTCCCATTGGTTCTAATTCTTCTTTACGTCATGACTAATGTGAAAGTATGTTTAATATGAATGTATATGTAGAGCCTGTATCAGAGTGCCTGCCGTCTTGGGGAGGGAGAAAAATTTTAAACTCAAAATCTTATGGAAGTGAATGTTGAAAGCTAAAAATAAATAAATTTTAAAAAATCATTCTCCATAGATTAACAATATTTAAGGGGATGAATAAATATCATTCTACTCCAGTATTCCCTCATGGAGGAGAGCAGAGCAGCCAGCCTTATGGCTCCCAATCTGTTCTTCCCCTTCCAGCATGAGTCAAACTCCCTTGTAGAAAGTTGGGCGGAGGAAGCTCTGGACTCAGCTATCTATTCACTCCTCCCTTTGAGCCACTTCTAGATAGACCCTTATGGATACAACAAACCTGCATGGACAACACACACACATACACACACCACTTACACAGAGAATTTCTGGAAGGAGTGATAATTTACTTTAGAATGGGTTGCTCCTAAATGTAGAATGATTCTTATCTGTAGAGCTAGTTTTTGTATAGGTCTGGGGAATAGATACCTTCCCTATGTACCTTCCCACTCAGAGATTCTATGATATAATGATGTGGGATTTCTGTGGCTTTTTTTTTGTGCCAATTAACTATGTAGCCATATCATACCTATATAATGACCAATAGGACATTTAGTGCTGTCTTAGGACAGAAGTAAACTATACTGCCTCCTCTTTAAATGAATATACAAATGTTACATATTAGTGAAAAGTGGGATCCGTAGCTGGGTGTATATAATTTCTCCCCTCTGTTGGAAAGAAATGAATGGGTTATGAGGGGAGGGGGCATTGGCTTAATCAAATTTCAAACTAGGTTGGCCATATGGTCAATGTGAGCCTCTTATTTCTTGGTCTTGTCCCTTCCCTGTTCCCCAGAAGAGAAATAGGTATTCACAACATCAGAAAAGCAAAAAATACTATACAATGGATCTTGAATATAAAATACTGAGATGAGGTCAGAAATAATTAGTCACAAGTAGGTAGAAAGCAATGGGACAGTGAGTCTGCTTGGTGAATAGCTTTACAGATTGTAAGTCATTCATTTAAAAAATGCAAATACAGTGAAATCGATACCAAGAAGCACCTAATGAGTCATTATTTATCTTGTAGTATTTGGCATTGCCCTCCCATCTATTTCTAGGGAAGAGTCAATCTTATTTACTACTTGATAGTTTTGGAGGAAAAGGAGATAAACTCTCTAGCATGATGATAATTTCAAGTTAGGATGAACCTTTGGCTC